TGGGCCTCTCAGGCATTTTGAACTGAGCGACCGGAATGACCCTCAGGAGGTGGCCAAGCTCTTCTCAGTGCCTGACTTCGTGGGCGACGCGTGCAAGGCCATTGCATCCCGTGTGCGGGGGGCTGTGGCCTCCGTCAGCTTCGATGACTTCCATAAGAACTCGGCCCGCATCATCCGTGCTGCTGTCTTTGGCTTTGAGACCTCCGAAGCCAGGGGCCCTGATGGCTTGGCCATGCCCAGGCCCAGGGACCGGGCCCTCTTCCCCCAAAATGGGCTGGTGGTCAGCAGCGTAGATGTGCAGTCGGTGGAGCCTGTGGACCAACGGACCCGGGATGCCTTACAGCGCAGCGTCCAGCTGGCCATTGAGATCACCACCAACTCCCAGGAGGCAGCGGCCAAGTGAGTGACACCTGGGGTCTCGGCTGCCCAGACGGTGTCCTTGGGGTCTCGATCTCACTGTGCGACAGGCAGGCCGTAGGTACGCTCTCGCTGGTCAAGGGAAGGTATGGGCTCCCTTGGATAACGGGGCATCCAGATGGTCACCTGCTGCCATCCTTGCCCCCAAGGAGTTGGTTCTGTACCCAACGGATAGTATGGCCTACTGAAACTATGACTTGGGTGCCACCCTGCCCCGCAGCCTTGCTTGTGAGAAGACCCAAGGTCTTCCTGTGGCTGTCCGTGCTCTCTGGGGTCTAGCCCAAAAGCCCACACCCCACTTGGCCCTCTGCTTACTGGGGACCATTGCAGCCCTTCTCAAATGCACATCTTCAACCTTTCGCAGTAGCCACTGCTGCCTATTCCAAGGCAGCTCTTCCTTGGCGAGCCTTGCTCTTTCTGCCCTGACCGCGTAGGCACCCTCTTAGCTGGCTCATGCCTCTCACCACTTCCAGGAAGCTCATGCGGTGTGATATCATCGCTGGTCATGTGGTCACTGGAGGGTCCTTTGGATGAAAGCAGGGCCAAGTGTTCGCCTGTTTCCTGAGGCCTCGGGCTGCCCGCTGCCTGCAGTGGCAAGAGCCACGCTGAGCCCAGGTGTACATTGAATGCCTCTCGGGGACAGCGAGGGCCTGTCCTGGGCTCGCTAGAGCCTGCTGGCCTCTGCACATGGCACAGCTCTCCCAGCGCTGGCCCACACGAGTCTTACCTCTCCCTGCCTTCTCTCCTCCAGGCATGAGGCTCAGAGGCTGGAGCAAGAAGCCCGTGGACGGCTGGAACGGCAGAAGATCCTCGACCAGTCAGAAGCCGAGAAGGCGCGCAAGCAACTCTTGGAGCTTGAGGCCATGAGGTGAGCGGAGAACAAGAAGGGGAAGTCTTGTGGGGAGGGCGAGGGTCCTGGGAGAGCTACTGGTGGGGGCAATGGTGGGCATGTGGGAGAAAGGAAGACAGACAGACAGAGGGACGGACAGAGCACCCATGTGCTGTAGAGTGTAGAGAAAGCCTCGGGGGCAGGGCTTCCTCCTGGGTCTCACCTGCCTCGGCCTCCCCTCTACCCCCAACAGCGTGGCTGTGGAGAGCACTGGGTCTGCCAAGGCTGAGGCTGAGTCACGGGCGGAGGCTGCGCGGATTGAGGGAGAAGGTTCCGTGCTGCAGGCCAGGTTGAAGGCGCAGGCCCTGGCCATTGAGACGGTGAGAGGGGCTACCGGGGAAGGGCGTGGCCATCCCTGAAGGCCATTAGGGTCCCGAGTGCCCCACTCGGAAGCCTGTGAGTTCATGGCAGTTCTTTGCCTCGCAGCAGCGTATCTACTACCTTCCCCGAAGGCAAGGATTATTGCGCCCACTCTACAGAAGTGAGCCCCCAGGTTGGCCCCTTTGTGCCACCTGGTGCACGTGTTTTATGCATGGCCTTATTATTTCTTACTTGAGATCCTCCTGGAGGCTGGGGTATAGCTCAGTGGCAGAGTGCTTGCCTAGCACTCAGGAGGCCCCGGGCTCCGTTCTGCACCTTGGAAGGAAAAGGACTTCCATTACCATAGGTTTCACCCTTGCGGAGGGACCCAGCTCTACGGCCATTACGGCCACTGGATGGACAGTGGTGTACCCGGGCTGTTCACCCTGCTGGCTGAGTCTGCAGCTCCGGGCCAGGCTTGGTGGCTCCAGTGACTCGCTGGGTGGTTTCAGAG